GGATGCTGTGATTCAACTAAATAAGACCTGATTTAAAATAAAGTACAATAAAAATAAAATAGGCTGAAATGCAATAAAATAAAAATAAAAAAAATAAAACTATATACTCAATTAAAATAAAAAGAAATGAGAAATAATAAAAATAGAATAAATAAAATAAACTATCTGCAGACATGTTTATGCCATCGGATTTCGTCGGATTCGACAAGTGCCCATTGTCAGATTTCATTGAATTCTATTGTCGAAACTGGACAACATCCGACGTTGGAACTCGTTGAAAACTAATGGATGATGATGATGATTTCCGACAGTTGGATTTGATAGGGTGAATTTGACCTGATTTAGCTTGAGTCCATCGGTTATTCGAAAGTCTTTGAAGTAGAACTGGTTATTAGTCATAAAGATTGTATACTTATATCTAAATATATAAGAGTCTGTTAGAACTATAAAAAAATTATTTCAAGCACCTATTAATCATAAAAGCTATTACATCATATATAAAATTACAATGGAAACTATGTTTTTGACTATAAAATATTTTAATCGAACGAGAGAAAACCGTTTTTACAGTAAAATACTCAATCTATCTCCAATGATCACATATTAAAAATGATATATTTTGTAAAAAGAAAAATAGTGACACTAACTCAAAAATAATTTGTTGGAAATTATTTTTGCTAGCAAAAGAACTACTTTTCAGCCGATAAATACCTTGAACAATATACTATTGTATAGAAAGATATCGTAACAGAGATGACCGTTTTTAATATCCAATGATGAATTTCTTTGTGTTTCGAAACAGTAACATATCACAAACAAAATGGTACAACAATTTTGCTAGTTATCTCAAATAATGGCTATGCGGTTCATCATGAAGATTTATAAGGTAATAATAGGTTTTCAATACGGGAGTATATAGAGAAATAATAAAAAGTTTTATTTTAATTGAGGACTCTTTTATGTAATTGCCTGAAAATAAGCAAAGTAATAACATTACTTTGGGATATAAAGTTTTATTATATTGTTAGATAAAATGAAATTTTTCTCATTTGTTATTTTTGCTTGAATATTGCTCAACTTATACATCTATCCAATGTTTAATATTCTTGTTTTTATTATTCTTGTTCTTTAAACATTTTGAAAAATCTGCATAGAGCACAATTGGTGTTGACTATTAATTTTTAAAAAAGCGACATTGATAGAACATTTAAACTTTGAATTTTATATAAAAAAATTCTATTTGTTGGTAATACAATTATGATAACTTTTCAAATGCAATTTGACTGAACTTTCATTCATTTTATGTGAGTTACATGGTTAGAAACTGTGGTTGCATGTTGAACCAGAGAGATAGATAATTAGTAATCTTAGAACAGCTTTTCACATTTACATCTTCATTTTGGAGATGAAAGAAAAATTTGACTAACGAAATAAAATTCGAAGACAAAAAATTGATGTCTGTTCAAAAATTAAATGGCCATGGGCACTTTTGGATCAACCCAAGAATGGACAGAGCCAGAAAGCTACGGTTTTTACCACTACGTAGGTACCTGAGTAGTCTATATATTTACTAAGACATGATGAACATTCTTGCAGATTCAGAGTTTTGTTACTACTAATCTTTGAAAGAGTTCATTATAGTTTTTTAAAATCTCACAGGAGCCTATATATCTAAACTATGTAAAAGATAGCCCAGGGAACTCCTCTACAAAATGACGCAAAACCAATCCACTTCTCTAGCTTTTCTAATTATCAAATGGTACTCATTTTCGTGAGGTTCATAGCTGTTGCCTTTTTGAGTAGAATAATTTATGAATATGTATAACAAAGCATATCTTTTATTGCAATTTATCATGTGGAAATGGCTGTTCAAGATCGTCAATAACCTTTTTAGTTGAAAATAAAGAGGAGACTATATAAAAATAAACATGAATTTAAATTGTTTTATTGATATATGGAAAAATATTAAAAAACGAAAAAAAAAGTGTAATTTTTATCGATGGTATATGAAAAAAATGTCAGTTATTGAGGAATATGAACATGTTACCCTCGTATAATATATTAATTCAGTTTTTATCATCATAGGTGCGCAACAATACTCTTTTAAGAGTCGTTGATTTCATTCCTGATTAGAGTTTTTTTACTCTAAGCTCTTTCTAAAATTAGCACCGTTCAAAACAATTACAGTGATTGTATAAAGTGTATGCACTGATTGGCCCTGATGTCATCAAAGTATGGCTCCTCTATCACTCAATGAGCCACTTAATATTCAAACAATATTTCGCAAATAATGGAAACTGAATATATATATTATACTAGGATAAAATGGGGAACCGGAAAGTTGAGCACGAGGAAAGATGAGCACGGAAAGTTAAGCACGGAAAGTTGAGCACAGAGAAAGATAAGCACGGAAAGTTAAGCACCGAAAAGATAAGCACAAGGAAAGTTCAGCACCGGAAAGTTGAGCACGAAAAGGGAAATTACTTTAGACATGGTGATAATGAGCAGCCCGGGGGAACACAGCTGATTTTAAGATTTCAAGACTTCAGAAGATTTCATGAGACTCCAAAAGATTTCAAGAGATTGCAACATCAGAAACTTCAAATTTTTGAAAGATTTCGAAAGACTTTAAAAGACTTTTAAGAACTTCAAAGGATTTTTCGGAACTTCAAGAGACTCCCAAAGGCTTCATGGAACTTCATAAGACTTCATGAGACTGCATGGTACTTCCAAAGACTTCAAAAGATTCATGAGACTACAAGGGATTTCATAACCAGAAAAAAAATCACAGACTTCAAGATTTCAAGACTTTGCAAGACTTCAAAAGGCTTTACGAGACTTCAAAAAGTTTCAAGAAATTTCTAAAGATTTTAAGAGATTTTATAGGACTTCAACAGACTTTCAAGATTTCACAACTGAAATCTCTGCTGTTTCTCCTTCGGGGCAGACGAATGCTGAGCGTAGATGTAGAGTGGGTGACTGTTGGTGAAGGTGAGTTGGTGTAGATGCAAGTGAGTGTGGGTGTGAATGGGATAGGTGGCTATGAGCTCGCAAGGTGTATATAACAACTTGATCCCTATTCACATCCATATATACGCCCGTCCATCGACGCACATTCATAACCACTCGGCTACCTCACCGACCCTCATATGTCTACCTCTACCCAACTGTCCATTTCACCGGCACCCACTTGCCTATCCTCACCTGCACTCACTTGTACCTACCCTCTCTACACTTCTTCCCCCACCTACACCTACACTCAGCATTCGTCTGCCTATTAACGCCATGTCGAAATTAATTTCCATTTTCGTGCTCAACTTTCCGGTGCCGAACTTTCCTTGTGCTTATCTTTCCGGTGCTTAACTTTCCGTGCTTATCTTTCTCTGTGCTCAACTTTCCGTGCTTAACTTTCCGTGCTCATCTTTCCTCGTGCTCAACTTTCACCAATCCGATAAAATGTTCATCGTTCTTCCTCAATAACTGACATTTTTTTATGTACCATCGATAAAAATTACACTTTTTTTTTCGTTTTTCAATATTTTTCCATGTATCAATGGAACAATTTAAATTCATGTTTTTTTTACATAGTCTTCTCTTCATTTACAACTAAAAAGGTTATTGACGATCTTGAAGAATCATTTCCACATTATAAACTGCAATAAAATATGTGCTTTGTTATACATATTCATAAATTATCCTACTCAAAAAAGACAGCAGCAATAGACCTCAAGAAAATGAGTACCATTTGAAAATTAGAAAAGCTAGAGGGGTGAATTGATCTTGCACCATTTTCTAGAGGAGCTCTCTGGGCTCTCTTTTACATAGTTTAGATATATAGGTTCTTATGCGACTTTAAAAAGCTGTAATGAACTCTTTCAGAGAGTGGTAGTGACAAAACTTTGAATTTGCACGAATGTTCATCATGTCTTAGTGAATATATAGAGTACTCAGGTATCTACATAATAGTGAAAACCGTAGCTGTCTAGTTCTCTCCATTCTTGAATTATTCCAAAAATACCCATGACCATTTTATTTTTCGACAGACATTAGGCCTTTTGAATCGATACGGTGCGAGAATCGGACATTTTTCGTTCAGATCGGCTCTTTTGATCTTACACAACTAGATGAAGTCAAGCCAAGTAGTTTCCAAAGACCTCGTTCAGTTTTGCCAGCTAGTCATGGAAAAATTCTTATCTGTATCAGAGACACCTCTTTCTCATCACATGCCTATAGGTCGCTCTCTTTTCATAAGTTCGGTTGAAAACCAGAGACTAGAGTTGATATTAGTTAAGATTTAGATGGAGATGTGAGCTCTTAAACTTGAACAAGAAAGATATTAGGAACTTTTGAGAGTATTATTTATCATTCTAGCAGAGGAACACCATGATAAAGCTAGTTTTTGATCAGTGAATACTTTACAACTTACATATTCTTTGAGAAATTTAAGTTTTTCATGCAAAAATTGATTTTCATTCTATCTAATTGCAACACACAATTTTTTTCATAATACGTTCTTAAAAAAGAAACTTTTTCAACATGCTGCCCTCAACGATAGAGATTTTTTTTATCACCGAAGACTTTCAAAATAGATTGATAAAAAGCACACTTGAAATCTAAGTTATCTTTTGTTAAAATATTTGAAAAATGATTCATAGGATACGTAATCAATGCTGCAAGTATTTCATAAATCTAATTATGATAAAGTGCATTAGATAAAACAAAAAGAAACAAAAGACATGTATAAATTAATAAAAAAAAACATAAAGAACATTGAAAGAATGTAGATAAGTATGTGATTTTTCTTTTCACCAATATTAATATCTTCGTCCGAATTTCCAAAATATCCACACTCTAAAGGTGTTGCATCTCTGTTGTCGAACGTAGTTAAGAAGATAGAAAAGTTTTTATACGATGAATTTTTTGATAGAATGCTTATGGAAAATGCAGAAAATAGTGAAAGTCGATATATGTACTGTTTTACGAATGCTACAATCTCGCTGTTATTTTGTTGCTATCATAGCAATTGCATTCGAGTTTTTTATGTAATCATCAAAGAATGCTTTATTAGGCATTTGAGGATCGCATTGATAGGGCACCCATTGCAATGATTTGAACCCAGCTTCTGTGAACACCTCTTCGTAAGTCTTCAGTGAGTAATGATAGTCTGTTATTTGACACATTGGCTCGTCTTGTTCGTTATAAAATGTAATGATGACTTCTGTGCCATCAGGTATTAAACCTTTGTCCACAGAGGCTTTGATCGATTTCATTAATCCATATTTGCGTAGATTGAATTCGGGTGGATCTAATTTGAAATCCGCCGTCACACCAATTAACTGTTTGTTTTCACCGAGTTGCGAATAAACAGTGCGTGCCATATCGAGTAATTCTGTTCGTGTTTGAGCGTGTAGAAATAGGCAAAAGGCGGTGACCAAATCAAAAGGTTTCTCAGGTGGCGGAAGTTGCTTGGCATCACCTACCAAATATTCGATGCCTTTTGGATCAAGACACTCGGCTTCACGAGCGAGGTCGATCATTTTTGAACTTTGATCAACGCCGAGAATATAATCGCAACCTAACGCTTTTAACTGACGTGTGTGACGACCTTCACCACATCCCAAATCAAGTACACGCTTTCCTGTTAGCAAGCCACTATCGTCCAGTAATGATGGAAGTATACATTTGTAAACTGTGTAATATTCGATAATGTTACCAACTTGAGTTTTCTTCACTGCACTATATTGCGCACTAATACTGTCATATTCAGGCTCACTTGATGTCATAGTGATTTGTTGATGGAATGCGTTCACGAAAGATGCACGTATTTTGATATAAAAGATAAAAAGAGAAATTATATATTATTTTCGGCTAAAATGTATTAAGTAAATAAAATCATTAAGATACTAACTTGACTTTTGTGAAGTAGAATTTGTATTTACTCAGTAAATAAATTGACCGCTAAGTGAAAATATTACGGCACTCAGTTAATTTATAGTTTTTTAATAATCAAAATATCTGCTAAGTTACATAGTTAATATGGAAGTTAGAATCTTTTCGATATACGTTAGTAAATTGAAATCGATATTATAGTTATATAATAAAATGGTTAAGTAAAAATTATTAGTACTAAGTAATTTCTAATAAATACTAAGTGTGATTATCTAAGATAGGATGGATTTTTATGGTAGGCTGACGTATACAATTTGTCTTTTCATTTTCTTCTGTCAGTATCAAATGATCACCATAACAATGTGTGTATTTCGTCTATATTTTTCGTTCTAATGTCATGCTTGTAAGATACACTTTTTCTTTGACAGTGCTTCAATAGAATAATATCTTTTTCTGATGTCTTGTTTCTTGATATACATGATCTATATTGTTTTGCGCTCCTCATTTTCTACCTAGTTCTCATCCACACCAATGTTGCTTTTGTATAAGTATCTGTCATAACACTCAGATCTTATATCAATATACACACGTTGGAGAATCGACGTAACTCTCTGTTAAAATTAAACTTGTTGAAAACCAACTTTAATTTATTCGTGCAAGTAAGGATATGATTAGCTCTAAGTTTAAGATATTGATGTTGATGACTGTTAGTCTGCTTTTCAAAAAGACTCTTATCCTCAGACCTCATTAGAACAGTAAATCAGTTAATGCTATTGTTTCAGTTGCTGTAGAGAATGTATTTGCAAATATAGTGTTGTTAAGAGTATCGAATGGGAGTTTTGTAAACTGTCTCCGTCAGCAAAGAATATACCATAGGGTTCAAAAAGAGAAAGAGGACAGTATCGACATGAAAAAAATACCACAAAAATTATTATTCATTCTATGCCTTCATCATTAAAATTTTTACTTAAATAATTATTTCTCTTTACTTAGCTTTTATTTAAAATTACTTAGCATTTAGATCGCAACTGTTATTTTACTACGCAAACTTGGCTAACAAATGAGCAGAGTAGATCAAGTAAGATAAATAAAGTAATCTTTTTTTTCTAGTGTATGTCAATAAAACCAACAGCCATATAAAGAAAAATCGTAGGAATTCACTGCTCTCTTGTAAGCCGAAAGCCATCACAAACATACTGATGCTAAATCTCTTTCAGACAACTACTGAAATACAAGGTGTATGTTTAAATCACTATCTGCTCCACTAACATAAAAAACGTGTATTTACTTATGTATTTTGATAGCGATGACAATAAGTCAATTACAAAATGAAACTTAGGAAAGCATTTGCTTTTATCTTATCTTCATTGCTTTTCGATCTACTCTTTACTTTTTTTTCTTTTGATGGTGATCATGATACATTCCCTTATGTTTAGAGATGCAACAAATCCAAAGCCTTGATATTTAATACTAATTGTTTTGCGTTTAAGATTAGATTTCGATTTACGTATGTATTTGACTCTAATTCTCTAATATGCTCCTGATTTGTGCACCCTTGATTCTATTTGTTCTTTCCCTCTCCATGATTTCACTGTGAAGTTAGAGTGTGGAAATGTCAATAAAACAATGATTTTGTTAATTATTAAATTCATCTTATTATGAAACGAACTCGTGGAGGTAGTGCATCCTTGAATTGATCATAATTGAAAACCAGTTGGGATATAGTTTTCCAAATAAGACTCATAATCATAGTCGAACATCTTGTAAGCAAGATCTTATCAAGATCTTGAAAAGACAATGTGCATGTATATATATGTTGGTCGTATCAAATAAATTTGTATCCAAGATCTTGACAAGATCTGTTCAAAGATTCTTTCAAGTCAAGATCGTAGAAAAGACATCATTGCCTATTATCTTTTTCCAAGATCTTGAATAAAACAAAAAGCAATATCATTTATTTATTTTAATATTTAAAACTTCTTTAGTTATTTGAAACTATGTTCCCAACCTTATTCATAAAATCTTGTTAATCTTATAGATGTATGAGAAATTCAGCAGCACTGAGGATGCTTACAAAACAATAGAAATAAATGATGAAGAACAAAGAATGCACAAAAGATAATTCAGCATAAAATTTATAAAGTAATCATTGAGTAAATTGAAGTAATATTCGTATTTAAAAACAGGATGATTGATGTTTCTCTATGATACACAATAGTATCGAATTCAAGTTTCTTTTAGAATAACGACAAAAAAGACTTTTTAAATTTTAGTGTTGATTAAATATTATATTTAAAAAACTCCCTCAATTTTTTTCCATAATAATTTTCATAATACTTTTTAGACACAAACAATGTTGAATCTGTTATGTTTCTAGATTTTTAAATATATTTATTAAAGCTATCAAATGAAGATTTTTCAAATACGTCAGCATTGACTTATTGTTATCAATATTATCCGATGCGTTCAAAATAAAAATCCAGGTGAATAAGGGTGAGGTGTGGGTGGTGAGTGTCGGTGAGCTGACGGTCTTTCACTTCTTCACACCCACACAACCCACCCTCGACACACCCACACCCACCACACACTCACCCGCATCCACACACCCACACCCTGGGCGTGAACGAAAAATTTTCAGTTATTGGAGAACCTGCATTTGTCTCACTTTGACACAGTCTGTTCATTCGACTTGTGTCTATCTGAGACAATCATAAGCTCTGATTTTCAAGTCTATCGGAGTTGATGTAGGCCCCCTATCTGTCTGATTTTTCCTAAATTTTCAATTGAAGAAACTTGGTTTTTTGAACAGCAAATGCAAGTAGGAAAATAAACAGTCGAATAATTTTGCCACCAGAAGGTGAAAAATGATATTTTTCAGTGTAATTTTGACTCAAAACAGCTATGACTGAAGATACATTGTGGTAATATTGCTTGTTGTTTATCAATTTATTAAGTTAATCTATCCGTTCTGATAATGGTATTCTTTACGCTGTGGACCTGGTTTTCATTATTATCTTGCATGAATTATGAAATACTGTGCACCTCAAAAGTTTCCCCCCCTTTTGTATTTTTTAGTTTT